AAAAAAATCTACAGCTTTCAAAAGATTTTAAAAGGAGAGATCACTGCACCTCAAACACCTCTTGGATTCCTTAATAATTGCTTATAAAGCCTCAATGTGTATAATTTATATCACTGATTAAAGAGTTTTAATTTTTAAAAACCTCCCCCTGCATGACAGCCCCTTTTTCATTTGGATGGCCATTCCCTGGACTTTTTTCAGCTCCATTAATCTTTCTCCATGTGGGCCACATCCTCAAGTCTAGAAATGGCACTTTTACAACAAGGGAAAATAACATTTCGTTGTCAGTCCCCATATTCCCCCTGCTGAAGACAGACCGTATCTTCAGGAACTGTATGTAATGATCCTCAGACCTATGAGATCCTTTACCCACATCACCATCCACTCACTCAAATAGTTCCCTTCTCCCTAAATGGCTTACATCCGCCACTGTAATGCACGGGACATTAAATCTCTCAGAAAATAATAGCTCCAGGGAAGAAGGGAATTTCTCTTGTCCACTGATAAATGAGCGAATGAATGAACTCAGTTTTCAATTTCTTCTTGCTCATCAGAAAAAGAATTAAACATGTTTCTTGAAGGGTATCATAGGGGAATGTCCACCACTGGAAAAGTTTAAACACATACCCTCTGCTAGGAATAAGTATTTCCGCACTGGGGAGGAAGCTGAGCCAAATGAGCTCTTAGGTTCCTGTCAACTCCTAGACTCTGTAACTGGGTGAGCTCCACACCTTAAGAGTGGACCGGCTACATAAAGCCTGATTCCCAGGTAGAGTAATTACCATGCTCTGTTTAAAATAAAAATAAAAGCCGCCCTGGGGCTTGGATGCAAAAATACTAACTCATCCAAAATGTGGACACATCCCTGGGGGAGAAATGCTCTTGCTAATCGTCAGTTACACGCTGGAAACCACAGATGTGCTTCAGGGTCTTCTCAGAGCCAAGCCCAAAACCACCTGTGGGAAATGGAGAAACTAAGGGATAAGATTAAGACGCAAATAAAGACTATCACACTAAACTGGAGCTTTTGTTTTCCAGCCAACAACAAAGCCACTTAAGAAACATCTGGATTTAGCCTTGAGGTTTAAATGGTTACAACTAAATGTAAAGTAATCCCTCCCTTATGAGGGGGGTGGGGAGGGATGCCTGAAACCACCAATAGTAAAAGGGTGTCCCAAAATTCACGCAAGAAGTAATTTTGATAGAAAACACAGGTTTATAATTGAAAATTGTAAATTTTTTATTGATTCATAAAATATACAGTATAGGGTTATGTATGGAATAGCATATCAGGTAAATGGCCTCCACAGCTTTGCTGGCACATACGCACTCTTTTGTTGAAATTTTCCATGACCAAAATGCGGCTGCTCAGGCAATAACAGTTAATGGTGCTCGCTATCGAGACAAGATAATCCAGTTTTTTTGTGCTGTGGAGGCCATTTATCCGATATGCTATTCCATACATAACCCTATACTGTATACTTTATGAATCAATAAATAACTTACAATTTTTAATTATAAACCTGTGTTTTCTATCAAAATTACTTCTTGCGTGAATTTTGGGACACCCTTTACATACATACCTGTGATAAGGTTCAATTTATAAATTAGGCACAGTCAGAGATTAACAATAACTAATAATAAAGTTGAACAATTGTAATAGTATACTGTAATAAAAGTTATGCAAGTGTGAGCTCTCAGCATGAATTTCTTTTTCCTTCTTCACAATTTCATGGGTAGATTTGTTCTTACAGTAGATCTTAGCAACCTCAGCATAAGATGGTTTTTCTTTTCCATATTGAAAACTTCCATCCTTCCGCTTAAAGCAGGGGTGGGGAAGGTCCAGCCCACCAGCCTACTAAGGCCTGAGAAATCATTTGGTCTGGCCCTGCCAAGGTAGTAGGGGTGAGTTAATTAACTGTTTGACCAAATATAGCAGGCTAATTTTTAGTTGACAATTGTGTATGGCCTGCGAATGATGTTATAAAAATCCAAATGGCCTTTGGCAGAAAAAAAGGTTCCCATCCCTGACTTGAAATCACTTCCCTGACTTAAAGGAATCACTTTAAGGCTTCTCTTTGCATATCTGAATGCTTTGGGGCCATTATTAGGTAAAATAAGGGTGACTTGAACACAAGCACTGTGGTACAACAGTCAGCCTGATCACTCAGATTGCTACTAAGTGACTAAGGGGAGGGAGCACATACAGCATGGGTAAACTGGACAAAGGGATGATTCACATCCCTGGGCGGGACTGAGCAAATGGCCCATCATCATGCTATTCAGAATGGCGGGCCAATTTGAAACGTATGAATTGCTTATTTCTGGAATTTTCCACTTAATATTTTTGGACCAAGGTTGACAATGGGTAACTGAAACCTCAAAAAATGAAACTGTGGATAAGGGGGGGGACTACTGTAATCACTTCATAAGAGAAGTGATTACATTTGTCATATAAGGATTTTTGCCCAGTAAAAGGTCATATTTATACCTGGGATATCACATTGAAATGTTCAAATTCAAGAATGTCTAAAATTGAGGGCAATTATTCTGAATGAACTTTCCTTCCATCTGGATGAGGAAGGCAGTTTTCAGGGAACGGAGATATGCTCATGTTTTCCTAAACAACTTTTTGTGAAAGATCAAATTCTAAAGAAATAACTAGAGAAACTCCATTCACACACAGATCCACTTCCTGAGTGATTATTTTCTCTCCACACTCTTTCTTTTGTTCTAATCGTAGAATAGATAAGGGAACAGAAGGGGTAGAGAATTCTAACAAGGATGCAATGTAGATCTCTCAGGGTTGTGTTTGGAGAATCTACACGTACTGGGGTTGTGTAGAAGACAAAATGCAGACACTACACTTAGGGCATTTACCGAGTGAACAACACAGTGAAGCAGTTCAATGATTCCTCGGGAATACATGAAAAGACTTCAACTTTGTAGTCAATTCCTGATCACCCATACCACAACCCAGTCAAAGAAAGCAGTCTTCTGTTTTTACACTGCACGTAATTTAATCTTAATTCCAGTGACAAAAGGGAATGTGCAGAGAAAGCAGTCACGTCCTCCGTGCACACACTTTTAAAAACCTCTATTATTTGCATGAGCGAGGTCTTCCGCAAGGATTCTGTGGGATTAAGCTCACATCTGGTTGACAGACCTGGTGTTGGATATGATTGTGGCCACACAACTAAATCTTAAATCCACATACTGTTCCTATTTAACTGGCATATATGAACTAACTAATTTATAGACAATGTGCAGCAAATTATTTCTTCTACCTCCCCATGCCTCAAAAATGCACCAGCAATAGGTATTCCGAAAAAAGACCCCCCCCACCCCCACACACACACATAACATTGCATTCCCAGATGCTCTCCAATTATCTAGAGTAGATACTGTTATTTTAGTTATTGGAATCTGTGCCTTGGAAATAAGTAGTGTAATTTCACCAGACAAACTTGACCTCTCTGGACCCCTTTTCTCACAAGAGAGAAAAAAAAAGATTAGCCCAGAGACTACAAATTCCCTCAATAACAGTAATCTCTGACCACTAATTATCAAGAGTACAGTTTGTGTGCAAGAAATCTGAATTCTTAAGAGAATGTCATTAACTTTAAATGCCTGAAAGACCCATAGGTGCACTTCAATATGACCACTGAACATTTTCTGGCCACGGAAAATGTCTCTGAAAACATCTTGGCGGCGAAATCACCAAAGTGAGGAATCCCCCGAATTTCCCGGGGTGGGGGTGGCGGTGAGGGCCGGGGAGTGTGCGTATCGGAGCAGGAGTTAGGAGAAGGAGCCGGGTGTCTGAGAGCACAGCCGGCATTTCCGAGTTGCTGAGTTTCTAGTATCTCCTAAGGACTTCTGTCTATGTCTACGGAATTGCTCAAGCGACCACCTGCAGCTACGCAGTAACGAGTAGGCGAAGAAAAGGAAATGGAAATGGAAAGAGAGCGGGTAGAGCCGGAAAACCCTCGCGGGGAGTGCCCCCAAAGTCGGTGGGGCGAAAGTGGACTTTGAATACCGACAAAGAAACGGGCAAAGAGAAAGAAAGAGGACTCCGCCTTGCCCACCCCACTCGGCTCCTTTCACGAAAAAGGCCGCCGCCGCCCCTTCTGCCTTTCACCCGGGATGCGGAGCCCCGGCTGAAACCGCACCCTCCAAGCCCAGCCGGGCCGGAGTCGCGGCCCCTGCCCCGCCCGCAAACCCGGGGCTGGAGCATCCTCCTCCCTCCCTCGCTCCCTCGCTCCGCGCCGAGGGGCAGCCGATTCTCCAGGCACCCGCACCCGCCCTCCCTTCCTCTTCCTCGCGTCCCCGCCTCCTCGGCTCGCCGCCCCCAGCCTTCCATCCGCAGAGCATTCTAATACCTCCACCCACCCGACAAGGGGGCCTTTTGAAAACTTTGTGTGTAAATGCAGGGCTTTTGTGCACATCCTGGGCAGGGCCCGGTCACCCGGGTGGATGCCTGGGGGTGTCCGGGATCTCACAAAGCACCGGGGAAACCACCACGCAAGTCCCACCCCTTGATTTTGGACCCGCTTCTGCCACCGAGTGACACACGGGGCTTGGGCTAAGCATCCCCATGCCCCGGCCGCCCCTCCACGCGGAGGAAACGGGAGGAAACCCCCGCACCCAGTGCCGTTCTCCGCTGTCACGAGGGAAAAGGTGTGCGCGCGGGGAGGGCGGCAGCCGAGGAACACCGTGGCTACAAGGATCTTCCTCAAGGGAAAATAGGAGAGAGGTCCCTTTCCTACCACGTCCTGGGAATCGGGACGCAACGAGGCGAGACACTGTTGCATCACGCCATGGCCAAGCCTGGGGGTTCCTCGCCCTCGCCCTCGCCCCAGCCCCAGACGCGCGCCCAAATCCATGCACACACTCACAGCCCCCGCCCGGGCCCCCCGATTCACGCCGGCACCCGCCCCAAAGCAGGGACCACCCCGCGCCGGAGGAGGAGCGGGCCAGGGAAACGAGGCCCCCGCACTCACAGACGGTCTCCCCACGGCCACGGCCATCGCGGCTGCGCCCCGGCTCCGGCTGCGCCCGGCTGCTCCCCGCCAACACTGGCTGCCGCTCGGCTCCGGCTCCGGCTCCGGCTCCCGCTCGCCTCCCCCGCGCCTCCCTCGCGGCTGCGCTCTGCTCGCGCCCGGCTCCCGCGCGCGGCCAGCGGCGTCTGCTGCCTGCACGCCGCCGCCCCTCCAGCTTTATTAGAGCAACATGGCCACTCGCCTGGAAGGCACCATTTGCTTCCCCACAAAGGGGGGGAAGCCTTCGCGCCGGGGCTGAGGTCGACGGGAAGGAGTGTGGTGGGCGGGCCCCCAGGCTCAGACCGCGAGGCTTGCCCTCCGGGCATGTAACCGGGCCCCCCCCTCCCCCCGAAGCGACCCTCTCCTGGCCACCAAGACCCTCCCAGCCGGTGGTCTGGCCGCCACCACCCGTTCCACCACGTGCTGGAGCCCGAGGAAAGCCGGGGCGCGGAGATCCGAGCCTGGGTCCCGCCGTGCGCTCGGCGGAGCGGCCAGCTGAGCCGCTGGCGAGAGGGGGAAGGGACGCGGGGCAGAAAAGTGCTCGGGGACCGCGTCTCGCGCAAAGCTAGCCCGGGGCAAGCGCGCGCCACCCGGAGGAACCGGCTCGGAAAGGGTGCGGGCCACCGGGGAGACACATGGGCGACCGAGGTGGGCCTGGGCAGCCCCCCAAGAGTTGCTCCTACAGAGATCTGTTCTGCAGGGAGAGGCTAGAAAGCGGGGAGCTGGAAGCCGGGAGCTGTCGCTGAGACATGCGGCGGGGTAGGGGATCTCAGGGAGAGGAAGAGGCCGCAGCAGTTGCTGATGTGGACGGCGCACACCGCCGGCTGGAGAGGAACCAGAGGACTTCCCCGCTGGAGAATTCGTGCCGCTGTGGACGGCCCAGAGCGTAGGGCCGAGGCCTCCCCGGGTGTAACGGGGCCCGCTGGCCACCCGCGGGGGCTTAGCGGACCTTATGTGATCGCTGGAGACAGACCCGGCGACTCGGAGGCGCGCGCGGGGGTGGCGGCTGGGGTTGCGGCAGCGGCGCCCGGCGGGTGACTGGTGTCTGCGCGACTCCGGGCGCGTGGGACTGGGAAGCGCCCCCGTCGTAGGGAAGGAATTTTTCCAACAGATGTTGGGGTACGTGACCGTGTGCCCTGCAAAACTCAGTTCCATTGTTTGTCCGGTGGTGCGGCGCCGGGGCCAAGGCCCGGCAGCGGGGTATGACCGAGGTGCTATGGATTCCCCCGCAGAGAGGGGGCCACGACAAGGTGACAGGATAGCGACCGGTCCGGGAAGGGAACCAGTTGGATAGAAGAGCAGGGATGTGGGGAGGCGGGGAAGGACCATGATCAGCCCACGGGAGTGCGCCCGCGGGGAAGTCCACGGCCTATGGAATTAGGTCAAAGCAAACCACCTCTTTAGACGGGGCGCCCCAGAGTCTGACCTGAGACCTCCAGGAACTAGATTTCTTGGGGGCCTTGCGCTGCCCCTCCTGCCATTTCGGGGATGGGCGGGGAGGCAGGATTCGGTGAGTGGACTCCGGGCAGGGGTCTAGCTGCTGGGAGGCCAACGCTGGGTTACCCCAGGAGGGATCGAAGGGCTGCAGGCCACCCAGGCTGGATCCCACCGGCAGGATGCAGGTGGGACCCTCGGGAATGAGAGTATGACTCACGGACTCGCCGTGAGTGAAAGACGAGAGGCTCCGAAAGGGGACCTCTTAGGTCTGTGGGCGGACTCAGACTTGCAGACACTAACCTCTTCCGTTTTGACCAATTTCTGCCCCCTAGCCTTCAAACCTTTTGAGACATGGTCCACCATTTTATGTGAAGCATACGGTATCAGCGGTTCTCAACCTGTGGGTCGCGACCCCTTTGACGGTCGAACGATCCTTTCACAGGGGTCGCCTAGGACCATCCTGCATATCAGATATTTACATTCCGATTCATAACAGTAGCAACATTACAGTTATGAAGTAGCAACGAAAATAATTTTATGGTTGGGTCACAACATGAGTACTGTATTAAAGGGCCAGAAGGTTGAGAACCACTGCGAGTAGGTGCTCAGTAAGTGTTGAGTTAAGATGACCACGTGGATGGCTGCAATGCAAAGGGAGGAGGAAGGGAAATACTTCCCTTTGCTGCTCTCTGTATGTCGGCATTTTGTTCCTTCTCGCACAGGGAGGATCAGACAGCCTCAGTGCCCTTGTGGACATGAGGTCTCGGGTAACGCTATGAAAAGACTGCTCTGCAGACTCCCAACCGGATGGAATGGTGATCGCGAACCAACTCTCCATTCTGTGTTCTGTTGACCAGACCAGACTGCAGGACTTAATCAGTTAATTGTTTTAGTTTTATTTACTTTGTAAATGCTTATGTTGAAAACAGCTGGTTAGATGTTTAGGTAAGAGTATGAATTCCCTACCTTGGTGGGTAGGTTAGTTTATTCTCATCATAAAAGCTTAAAGTCACCTATTCCATGATCTCAACTGTTTGAAGAAACTCTTTTAGGACAAAATCATTACAGTTTACCCAGGTTCTGCCTGATTTTTTCACTAACTAGGAGCAATGCCTTAAATTTCCACCTCCCTGACTTTTGGGGCCAGATAGGCATAAATATATTTAATAAAAATATTTAATTACTGTTGGGCAATAAAGGCTATTTCAGAATGTCAGTTTTCATTCTGAAGTTATTTAAACATCATTCTACACAGTGGTTCTGAACCTTCTGGCCCTTTAAATACAGTTCCTCATGTTGTGACCCAACCATAAAATTATTTTCGTTGCTACTTTATAACTGTAATGTTGCTACTGTTATGAATCGTCATGTAAATATCTGATATGCAGGATGGTCTTAGGTGACCCCTGTGAAAGGGTCGTTCAACCGCCAAAGGGGTCGCGACCCACAGGTTGAGAACCACTGTTCCACAACCATTCTACCCAAGTTTAAAACCACTTCATAGCTATGTGACCTTGAGCAAATTATTTAACCTTTCAGTGCTTCAATTTCCTCATCTTTAAAATCTATTTAATAATAGTTCCTCCCTAGTAGAGTTACTAAGGGGTTAAATTCCCTTTTTAACTCTGCACCCAGCACTGTGCTAAGAACTAAACATTTTAAAATGAGGATGCCTCTTCAACTATTAGTCAGTGCACAGTCTGCTGAGAGATCTTTAAACAACGTTGATAAGTAATCCAAATCCTAGAAAAGATCCATGAATTAAGGGAGTTTAAAGCACAGTACAGAAAAAAAAAAAAAAAAAGCACAGTACAAGGAGCTATTCACTCTCCTGTCAAAACACAAAAGGCTTCACCAAGGAAAGCAGAACAGGGAGGAGAGCAAGGAGGACATCCCAAACAAGAGAATAGGATGGGTTCCGCAGGCTCCCTTGCTATGGCACCATTGCAGCCTGGCTGCATTCCTCAACCAAAGGTCAGTTACTTCCCTAGGATAATCCAGAGTAAACTCCTCGTGGTTTTGCTACGTTTATCCCACACCCTTGCAAATAGTCATTTTATGAAACTCTACTCAAATTACCCATTGAGAATGTACCATCTCATTTCTGCTAAGACCTTAACAGATTCAGTCCTTCACAGAATTGTTTTGCTCAGAGTTAACTGAGAAAACATAGGTATGCTATAATTAGAGTGACCTATAATTTAGTGCGCAAACTTGGAAACTTTGGAGATTGAAAAAAGACGGTTAATGTATTAAGACGATAGGCAAAAAACAGGACTTATGGTCACCATAGCTATTATTACAAGACAAGTTGGGCAATTGAGAAGTGATCATACTTATATACATCTTTTACTAGGCTCTGAGTGCCTCAAGGCAAGAGAACTTATTTGTATTTCAGCTTACAGCACAAAGTCTGGTATAATCAATAAATGTTGAGCTGCATTGGAATAGAAATGAGGCTAGGGGCTGGGCTAAAAAAACCTTTATTGTCATGCTAAGGATTTAGAACTTGATCCTGTGGCAAATGAAGAATCAAGAAGGTTAAGCATAGAAGTGACATATTTGCACTTTAGAAAACATCTCTAGTAATGAAGAATCCAAAAATGAAATGAAGAAAACAACTTCAGCCGAAACCGGTTTGGCTCAGTGGATAGAGCGTCAGCCTGCGGACTGAAGGGTCCCAGGTTCGATTCCTGTCAAGGGCATGTACCTGGGTTGTGGGCACATCCCTAGTAGGAGATGTGCAGGAGGCAGCTGATCGATGTTTCTCTCTCATCGATGTTTCTAACTCTCTATCTCTCTCCCTTCCTCTCTGTAAAAAAATCAATAAAATATATTTTTTTAAAAAAAGAAAACAACTTCATTTACAACAGCATCAAAAAGAATTAAATACTAAGGAATAAATGTAACAAAGGAACTGTAAAATGTTCACCCAAAACTATTGAAAGAAATCTTTAAAAATCTAAGTAAATGAAAAAACATCTCATGTTCATAGATTGGAACATTTAATAGTGTTAAGATGATTTAAAGATTCATCACAATCCCTATTAGAATCTTAGCTGGCTAATTTGTAAAGATTGGCAATCTGATTCTAAAATTCATATAGAAATTCAGGGACCCAGAATAGCTAACACTTGGAGGACTCCCACTTCCAGATTTATAATTTTACTACAAAGCAACAGTAACCAAGATAGTGTCGTACTGGCATAAGGATAGACATAAAGATCAATGGAATAGAACTGACAGATCAGAAATAAACTCAAATGCCTATGGCCAACTTATTTTGAAAAGCCTATCATTCAATGGAGAAAGAATAATCTTTTTAACAAATAGTGCCGGGACAACTGTACAGGCAGAGCAATAGAATACATTCAGCCCCTTATCTCATATCATGTACAAAAATGTATCAAAGACCTGAATGTAATAGCTCAAACTATAAAACTCTTGGAAGAAAATATACAGGTACATTTTAATCATCTCAGATTTGGCAATGGATTCTTAGCTTTTACATTTAGGTATGTAATTTTTGTATATGGTCTGAGATAAAAATTGATGTTAGTTTTCTCATATATACAATTTTTCCAGCATCATCTGTTGAAAAGGCTATTCTTCCTCCATTGAATTGCCTTTGTATCTTTAGTAAAATATAAACTATATGTGCTTGTCAATTTCTGAACTGTCTTCTCTGTTTCATTATTAACTAATATGTCTA